ATGCCATGCACGTTTTTTTGTGTCTCTTGGTGCTCATGGTGCACACATGCATTTGTATCCAGTCTAAGGATGGTGAAAATGCTGGCTCATAGCATACACGTGTCTTCAGCTTTAGCAGCTGATGTCCAAATGGTTGCACCAATGTGTGCTGCCATCCTTAGTGTATGAGAGTTTGGGTTTGTCCATAGCCTTGTCAACACTTGGTATTATCTGTCTGCTTGCTTTAGCCATTCTGGTAGGTGTACAATGCGGATTTAATTTTGCACTTCCTACATTACTAAAAGCAAACATCTTTTCACATGTTCATTAAACACTTGGATAGTTTCTTTTGTGAAATGTCTGTGTTCTCGGGCATAGTTTTAAAGATCGGATTTTCTTTTTCTGGATGATTTGTAGGTATTCTTTACCAAAAGGCCTCTGTTTATGATAAATACAGGCACACCTCGGAGATATTGCAGGTTCGTTTCCAGACCACCACAATAAGTGAATATTGCAACAAAGCGAGCCACACAATTTTTTTGGTTTCCCAATGCATATAAAAGTTATGTGTATATTATAGTGTCTAAGCCTAATCAACTATTAAGTGTGCAATAGCATTACGTCTAAAAAACAATATATATACCTTAATTAAAAATTACATTATTGCTAACAAATGCTAACCATCCTCTGAGCCTTCAGCGATTTGCAACCTTTTTGCTGGTGGAGGGTCTGTCCTCCATACTGATAGTTGCTGCCTGATCAGGGTGGTGGTTGCCAGTGGTTGGGGTGGCTGTGGCGATTTCTTACAATAAGGCAGCAATGAAGTGTGCTGCATCTACTGACTCTTCCTTCCCCGAAAGATTTCTCTGTAGCATGTGATGCTGTTTGATAGCATTTTACCCACAACTTCAGAATTGGAGTCCATCCTCTCAAACCCTTCCCCTGTTTTATCAACTAAGTTTATGTAATCTTCTAAGTCCTTTGTTGTCATTTCAGCAGTCTTCACAGCATCTTCACCAGAAATAGATTCCATCTCAAGAAATCACTTTCTCTGCTCAGCCATAAGAAGCAACTCCTCATCCTTCCACTCAACTTCGAGGGTCCAGCCTTTTGAGGTCTCAACCCAAAGTAAGAGGAGTACAGTAGGCTCTTCCAATTCTTTGTGGGCCCTGGATTTGTTCTCTCTGTCCCCCCATCTCTCTGAAGCTGCCATACACAACTTCTCAGGCACCCCACTGTGGAACTGGCCAATACTACCTAAGGAAAAGCAGCCATAAATGCAGGGCTCAGTCACATCTCTGAGCCTCTGTCTTCGTCACTCTCTGGATTTCGTGACAGTAATTCATCATTCTCTTGTTAGTGCTCAAGTGCTTTCAAAGAGATCTTAAATCTTTTGCCTAGCATTTCTAGCTGTCCTCAAGGATAAAAGGGTTAGTCCATATGACCAAGCCCGCCATTATCACAACAGAAGTATGATTGTCTTGCTTTTCTTTTCTTATACCTCAATTTTATTTATGAAAGTTTTCATTAGTCAAAAACTCCTATTTATCATCTTACGATCAGAAGCAATATTTCCAGAACATGTCTGCTATAACATTAATTCTGAAAGATGCTTTTTCATGGAAAAAAAAAGTGTGTGTGTGTGTGTGTGTGGGGGGGTCTATTGTGAAATCACTTTGAGTAACCATATGTTTAAAGAGTCACAAAGTAGGGGGCATTTGAGGTCTTGCTCCCTAGGATATATCAACTGTTTAGCTCAAATAAACTTTAAAATTATAAAATTAAATTATAAAATTATAAAATTATAAAGTTATAAAAATTTAAAAAAGAAAAGATTCACAAAGTAGGTTAGCATTTTAAAGGCTCTGGGAAGTCCTGTAGTGAAGAAACCTATTTAGTTTTATTTAGCACATGATTTGCAAAACATAGATAAGTCCATCCTTCTTTTCATATAGCTCCAAGTAACATACTTTGAAAAGTGTAGATTAGAAATTATACCCACAGCTTTTAATGTATTTTCTTCTAAGTTTCTCTGGGAATTTTACATGTTTAATCTTTTCATTCATAAAAACCTTATACAAAAAATTATCTTACACTACTTTTCTTCCAAACTAGTAAACCAAAATGGCACCATTGTTGAAAATGAGCTAAGAAATATTATCTGACTTTTCTTCACAAAAGTAACACTTCTAAAATACCTATGAGAGAACATTTATTGGGGGAGGGGTGGATAGCAAGAAACACTTTAAATCCACATATGCTCTAAGTATTACATGGAAATAATTACTTCCTGTTGGTATCTAGATTAAGTGATACAAGATGTCTACTTAGTTGAATCTAAATTCTGAGGTAGCACATGTTAACAAGCAGTTATAACACAAATGTCATTTAGGAAATAATCCAAACAAGTAGGATAAGTAGAATTATATCGGGCCGGCCGAGTGGCGCGATGGTTGGGAACTCGCTTGGGATGCCAGAGGGCCCCGGTTCGGATCCCACATATGAGGGCCAGTGACACTGCCCTCTACAGCTAGGATGCTGAACAACAGCTCAACCTGGAGCTGGGCTGCCGTGAGTCGCCGGCGACGGCGTAGGCTGCACTCCCTGTGGCAGTGGGTTGCCATGGGCTACCGTATGTAGCCAGCAGCCAGCGTGAGCGGCCAGCAGCCGCAGTGAGCGGCCGTCCAGAAGCCGGCGACTGATCTGCCTCACCCGGGAAGAGCGCAATGATGGTGCCAACTTGGGCCAGTGAAGCAACGTCCTCCACAACTAGACTGAAGAACAAAACGACAGCAACTTGTCTGTTCCCCTTCCCCCAATTCCCCAGCACTGTTCCCATCCCCCCAATTCCCCAATAAAAATCTTTAAAAAAAAAAAAAAAAAAAGAATTATACCTAGTACAGGTAAAATAATTATATAAGAGTATGCATCAATGAAGACTCAAGGCATCTAATCTTGATGTGTTATAAGATGTTGGGATATATATACTGTGAGATAGGATTTATTTCTGTGTATATGCAGTAATGGAGATAGTTTTAAATAACTCACTAAGCACTTAAAATAGTTTAATACTTGAATTTTAAATGTTAAAAAAAATTCATGTTCACCAGTTGTGATTAACATGATTAACACTATTAACACTAAACATATTAAAATAGTTGCTTAGGACAGGGAAGGGAATGGGAGTGGAACAGAGGCGTGAAAGGGACCAATGAATAGCATCCTGAGATGTTCTGTACAAACCAATGATGACGTGCCATCATGATCTGAGGGACGTGAAAAATGCAAGAGGCTCTACAAAGGGGGAAGGAGGTATGAATGGAATAAAGAAACAAAAGAAACAGGATTACATGGAGAAGGTCAAATTAGGAGGATGGCAAAGCCTGAGTGTGAAATGGCCAAAGGAACACAGAACACTGAGCAACAGAGACTACGTCTAGATTTATAGCTGCACGGAAGGTAAGAAAGAATAGCGGAGAAGCTCTAGGGAAGTGTGGAGGGTACAAAATGTGGAGGAAGAAAACATGAGGAGAAGAAAATTGAAATACATGTTTGATAGGAGGAAGAACCATGTTTACGATGCCAGAGGGATAAGAAAAAAATGTAAAGGCAAGGCAAAAACACATCTTCAAATAGTTAAACCCTACGAAATAAAAATCATTTTGGAAATAAAACCAAGCCCTAGTTACAATTAACATTAAATGAAATAGATATGATTGATTCCAACCTTAACCAGGCCGAAAAGGGAAAACAAGACGGACGGTGCTAGGGAAATACAAGCATATGAAAAAATGTAACAGAAAAAAAGTATAAGGGCATGCAAACAACTAAAATAGAGTTCAAAAGAAACAAAATGTAAATATTTGGAAATACATATACAAGTGTAACAGCCCTAATGTATAATTGATAATACCTTTATGAATTTGTCCACATTTAATTATCTGTTAAAAAAGATCCTACAACAGGTCTTATCTGTTTAATTCCATGAAAATAGCAATTAACACAGTGGCAGATATAATCAGGCATTTATTCCCACTTTGGGTCACTTGTATGTTTTGTAACTTGTCTCACTCAATGTCTACTCTTTTTCTCTCATCATTTTTAATTAAGTTAGTCAGTCATCGCCATAGTTTTCTGAAGGCTCCTTACATTTTTGTGGAATGAATGAGTTGAATATGTGCAACAGGGAATTTTTCCTGTCAGAGATCTGTTTTCAGGTGTTTCCAAGAACACACGCTATCTAAAAGCAGGAAGGAAATTCCTGCTCTTGCTTTCGGATAACAATGATAATCGTGATTATCACAGAGTAAGATGACTTAATGTGAAGATAATCCAGACAGATACAGTTATTCTTATACCTTTTTGACATGTCTTCCGTGTTCTTGTCATGGTGAAGGCATGATCTGTCTTTACCAGCACTTCAGGGCTGGGCAGACATGTATGATGTGGGTGTACACCGCTAGCCATCTTGGGAGGGGTATCGATGAACCAGTATGGCCGCAGCCATGACAACATGAGCACCAAAAGAGATCCCTCAGAGACAAGCTTCTCTGTTGTCTTTGTATCTCTGAAGTAGGCCCACCATTTCTGCACATTGTAATCTCTCTGAAGACATTTCACACTGTTATTATAAGATGTATTAGTAGCCTGCTAGAAGTCTAATTTTGGAGAGGATGATACAGAGGGCTTCTTAAGAAATTGTTTTGGTATAAAAATTGTACTAAAGCAAGTCAGTCTTTAGAAAAGAACGATGTCTGCTATGAAGGAGGCACTCAATATTTATCGAATGAGTAACTGAAGGCCAAGGTATAAGGAATAAAACAGGGGTGTTATGAAAAAATGTTACATATTCGTGAAAGTGCCCTTCAGAAGGAAATTAAGTCTACAATGGGAAGTGTCCACTCTAATCATATAGCCCCATTTTTTCCTCATTTGGTAGCAGACCCTGTTTGAGGAACACCACTCCTCTCATCTCAGATAACATAGATGCCTACAAAGTGAAACGGTAGGAATTCACTCACCAACTGGGCTGCTTCCAGCTCCATTTGGCACCGTGAGGTCTGACGTGCTTAACATCCCACCTGACAATGTTACAGAGAGAAGGAAGGGCACAGAGTGAATACGAGTTGGCACTCCTGATCTGAATGACTAGGAGGAACTAAGCAGACCTAACCCTCACCCCAGTCCTAAAACCACAAAAATGAAAACTAGCCCAGTCAGAACTTGGCACTCATGTGTAACAGGATATAGTCATGGGCTCTCCTATGAGCTCTGGATGTGCCTGCCTTCTGTGTATCAATCCCAAATAGTACATATTGATGAGAACGGGAGCAGTGCCAGGAGTCCTGTTAAATCTAGGACATACGGGAGAGGAGCCAGGCAGTGCACAGAGTAATGCGCTAAATGCACTGCCAATTTCTGCTGAATTAATGAACAAATTTAGGCAGAGGGAGATGCAGAAAACACCAGCTCCAGCCAGGTGAGTCTATTCTCCATATTTTAAACATGAATGGCTCACACTCAACTTGAAATCTGTGCTCATGACGCCCTAGCTCAATGTGCCGCCTGTCAAACATGGCTTTCCCGTGATAAGTGAAGCTTACGGATGGCAGCGTCTCCATACTGTTCCTCTGTACCTGACACGATGCTAGAGCTGCAGGTTTCACAGAAATACTTAACACGGAGCCAATTATATAGCAATGACACTTACTCGTCAACACAATAAAATTAAGAACAGCTGAACTGCTCATGTGAGCAATAAGTTTTTTTTTCTTTTAGTTTCAGGTGTACAAAACAATGTAATAGTTAGACATTTACACCCCTCACAAAGTGATAACTCCCATCCCCCAATCTATTGCCCCTCTGACGTCATACATATCTACAATTCCATTGACTCTATTCCCTATGCTGTACTCCATATCTTGTGACTATATATATATTGAATTATAGTTGACATCCAGTATTATTCAGCTTCAGCTTCAGGTGTACAGCGCTGCGGTCAGACATCTACACCGTCCATGAAATGGTCTCCCTAATAAGACAAGTGCCCATCTGACACCCTACAAAATCTTAACATTATTCATTATATTCCCCTAACTGTCTTTCATGTCCCCATGGCAATCTTGTGGCTACTAATTTGTGCTTTTGAATCCCTTTACCTTTTCCCTCTCCCATCTAGCAACCATCAGTTTTTTCTCTATATCTCTGTGTCCATTTCTGTTTAGTTTGCTCAGCAACTAGTTCTTCTACCTTTTTTGTTAAGAACCAACAGAGCTTTCACCACATACCTGCACTGCCAGTGCTTGGTGGCCTCTGAGGAGCTCCAGGGGACACATTTCTATGTAATGTGGCTTGAGGTGGAGAGAGCATGCTTGAGTCTGCTAATGTCGAGGTGGCTGCCAAAGATTGGGACACAAGTGAACTCCCTGGGTTAGTGTAGGACAAAGCGTTTGGGCTGCTCACAGGGACTGTGACAGACATTGAGAAGTTCTGAGGTGGCAGACCAGGCTGTGAATAAAGAACAAGGAAAAGAAAACTGTTAGCTTCATTTCTGTCTATATTAAATTTAATAACTTGTAACTCTAGTTATTAAAAGTAGAGGGTGGGGATAGGTTCTGAACTAAATCAATTTGCGGATTTGAGCTATTTAGAATTATATTTGAACATGAGTATGTTTGACATGAACCTTTTCGATTTTAATTTTTTACATATCATGACACATAGGCTAATATAATGTATATTATTTATTTCAAGTATTCAGAGGTAAAAATTAGAGGTCAGAACCTAATATTAAAGTAGTGTTATCAAATTGAGACAGTACAAAATATATCATGTTACCAAGTAAGCATAAATTAGCACTTTATGAAAACCAGTTTAGAAACATTACATTTCTATTGGGAGATTCCAAATACAAGAAAAGGGGGAAAGTGGGTACACATATTATAAACATAACATATCAAATTTTGGACATTATAAATAAGCCCTGGTCTGATTTAATCGACTGACATTTGTAATCGACAAAACTAAAAAAACATTTAAGTTATATATGTAACACAATGTAATCTCAATGTGATGAAGGTGCAATTGTTATCGTCTAAACAATACAATGAACTGCTGATAAGCTCTCTTTAAATTGTATGGTGATTAAATTACCACTATTACCAGTGCTATATTCCTTCCCTCCAACATATCCCAAACTCCCTTTAAAAATATTTTCTATTTCTCTCTTGCATTCCCTCCATAGACCATTTACAATATACTTGTTAACCATGATAAATAACAGTCCTCTTTATAAATTAAAGTGAGAGGGGGGGGGGAAATACAACTTTCCACTTCTGACATTTTAAAACAGGGATTTGCAAAGTAAGGTAACACTGCTAATTCAAAGATGGAAGAATATAAATAGTTTATGTACTCTATTCAATAGTGTATTTCAGATAGAAAATTATAATAATTCATTACCAGATATAAAACAATGGATATGATAAAAATTTTTCCAAAGGTAAAGCAATTTTATTTACACAGTATTTTTGCAGCTTAACATTAATTGCAAGTTCATCAACATCCATGTGAGGTCAGTGGGCTTTTGTTTGCTTTTTTTTTGTATTTTTAAGAACAATGATGGTATTAGCACAAAAATACTTCTGTAAATCTATTTTTCATGAACTGCTTCATATAGTATAGGACTATTTTAAAGAAATAATCCATGATGCATACTTCAGGGCCTACTTTTAAAAGAATGAACTCTGACAATGAAATAAATATCAGCATGGGAACCAGTTCGGTCCCTGAGGCCTACACTCATATATAGCATTTGAAAATTAGATCCAGACAGCTGCCTGACAGGGCTCTTGCCAATGGAGCTTCCAGTGAAAACTCTCTGAAGAACCATCAAAGGATCAGGAACTTAAAGAAGTACTGTTTCATTATGGTGAGATGTATGAACATGGAAAAATGTTAAACCAAATATTTGTTTTGCAACCAGTTTAAGAACACTGCTTCCTTAAATTAAAATTCTACCAAAGCTCTCTTCCTCAATACCGTGAGGATTAAAAAAAATCACAGTACTTTGGAGGTGTTGTTGCCAAGTGTTTTGGGGACATTTACAAACAGCCACTACTAATAGTGACTATACAAAATAATTAAAAATAATTTTGAAAACACCAAATTTTGGAATACATCCAACCAGCTTATGTTTTATAGTCTCAAGCTCTATTTTAAGTATATGAAATATTTTTTAAAAGTCACCAGAGGGAGGAGGGGAAGTCATATGCACCCTATATTCAGAATCACGGAAATTTGGAGCTGGACGAGACCTTACAAATTATGTGAGCAACTCCCTCACTGTAAGCTAGGGACCTGGACTTCAGGGTGTTCGGGTGCCCACCCAAAAGTAAGAAACACAGCCCGGATAAGGATGTTTCTCTTCACTTCTGTGTTTAAGGCACTGGAAATGTACTGTTATAAGATTTCAGCAATTTTACTCTGAAGTCCTATAGAACCAAAAACTAAAATGCTTTTGTCCCTTCTACTTGTTGTTGTCATCACCCCCTGTGAAAATAAACAAGATGTGTGATCAATCGCTTCATGCACGTGTTAAAAGCACAAACCATACTTTCGTACTCACTGCGATTTTATGATTCCGCATCATATTATCAAATTCCTCATTAATTTTTTTATATTTTTCTTCTGTATGTGGAGTTAGCACATAGGAAGTATCGGGGTCTGGGCTGTCGCACCCTCTGTGTTCCTTCTTGTTCAGAGCCTAAATAATGAAGTTAACAAAAAGGATCAACAAATAAAAAGTAGAGGTAAAGTAAAAGTACTTACAGGGCCTCGTTTGAAAATAAAATCACTATCTTCATTTAGTTTGCTGAATCTGTCCTCCGAGAGTGGACTGTGCTCAAAGTAATCGTCAGCATCAGGGCTCTCACAACCATTAAGGCCTTTCTTTCTTAACGTCTGAAATACAATTGGAAAATTCACACACACATGATACTAACTTGCCATGAGTTTTTTCGTAAAATTTATTAAGAGAGCACAGACTGAATGGACTTATAGAAGAGCCACTGAAATGGTTTTAAACGATCACAAATGTACTCTAATTCTTCAGGTATGGTAAACCTTAGATATAAGCAACACTAATGTTCCCGTTGTACCTTAAGAGCAAAGGAATACCGACTTGTTTGGATTCTTCCTTTCCAAACTTCCAAACACTACTACTAAATTTCTCACCACTCTGACAGTTACTACCCAATCTCATCAAAGCCTGATCAACATATCTGATAGGGCCAATGAGCGTTGAGAATGAAAATAAAAATGTATCAAAACTATGCTAGAGCTCCTTCATGGATGGATTTACTTCAATGAGTTTCTGTAGAATTTTTTTGAGTGTCATCAGAGTAACCCCTGGACTAAAATAAAAACATAGTGAACAGTTGGTTTTCTAATTTTTAATTTTTTTAAATTAAAACCATTGTGAAATAACTTGCCCAGTATTTAAAAAAACAAATTTAAAACCAAGGGCTTGACAATCTGTGAAATATTAATTTACTTCCAGAATGTCTAAATTTTTAAAATTCCTGATTGGTCTTCTTTTAAAGAATTACTGGGTTCAACAAGTTAAATAGCTTTGAGATCTGTTGCTTTTTCCAGCCAACCACAGAGAAGTTTTAGGAAGTTAAAATTGTCCAGGTAAGCCTACCTCACAAAGTTAATTAACTAAGAAATGGTTTGATCAACAGACTAGCAATGGATAAGTTTATTAAGAAATTATTTAAATTTAAATCATTAATAAATGATTATTAAATAAAAAATTATTTAGATTTAAGGAATATTTTTAATTTATTATATTAGATCTTGGTATCCTTTAAAACATGATTTGTAGTAGTTATGAATGCTTATTTTACTCTTTTTTCTTGAAAGACGTAGAAAGTAAACACACAATATATTGAGATCTGAGAATTTTTTTACTTTCTCTGAAGTTAAATTACTTTAAATTTTCATTTTACTCAATTTGACTTTTTTCATGTTTAAAGAATCCTAAGAAATCATTATTATAGATACGTTAGTTTCTCAAAGTACTTGGCATGCGCTAGGAATCCCACCAGCACACATTCACCGAGCATGAGCATAGAGCAAACACTACACCTGTCTTGCCATCATCGGCCCCCTGGCTCTGAGTCCTATGGGTCTAACTATCTTGACATGGATTTTTGTGTGTACTTAGCCCTAAAAGGTCCTGTTGTTTAGAACTGGAGGATGGAGATGGGTATCCTCCCCCAACCATGAAGCAAGTCCTGCTTGCCAAAGCTCTGTAAGCTGCTATCCGCTGTGAAGATATTAACAATCAGAACACTGGTGCACAATGAACTCTTATAACCTACATGGCCCAGACGCAGAACAGATATAGGAGGTGCCTGCACACAGATTCTAGCAGGAAGTTGTTGATTTCTTCTAGCCTGAAATCTCTAGATATTCCCCCTCATAAGTCATATTATCTTCAGACCAGGTCGTTCATAGTATTGCTCTTCCACTAACAGCCTCACCAAGTATGTATCTCTTTGAACATATTTTTCAATTACAGAAGAAAGAACATGGCCTCTGTTGAGTAATTACACAAAAATGTTCTCCTACAACGGTAGGGTTAATGCTACTTGTACTCAGGAGGCAGAACAGCGCTCTGGTCTGCCCAGCTCTGCAAGCTGTCACTTCAGATGGGGTTCCTGTCACTGGGAAGGATTTAAGAGGCTGTGTCAGCTCTGGAGATAACCCACTAATGTGCCTCTGTTGGACAGCCAACTTGTGTCTTATCACTCAAACATGAAGGGTTGTTCTGAGGACCCAACTACCATAAAAAGGCCTTTTCTGTCTTCTTTATCATTATCACGTAGCATAATAGTAAAAGTTTCTCCTGTGTCACTGGTATTAACAAGTGGAATGCTGTCATCTATTAACAAGGCCAGGCGAGGCATGTAAGAAACAGGCTAGCTTCAGTTTTTTCCACAGGCTTCAAGTTAGCCACAATAAAAACACGTGCTCAATGAAGAAAACGCAGTCCGAAAAGTCACCACTACGAGGAATCTGCTTTTCAGTGGAAAAAACATTCATCAAGAGGATTTACACAGGTCCCAAACCTGGAAGGAAGATGGCTGAGGACAACTGACTGTTTGGGGACAAAGGTAATTGATTCAAGTGATGGTATATACACAAACGATGACCTTTAAAGTCACTGTACACTCGCTAGGGCTATTACTGATGGTTATATGGTTCCATTCTCAAGGAAATAGGACTGCAAAAGTACTTTATTCTTGTACATGTGGTTGGCAGGTTTTCAGTGGCAAACTTAAGGGGAAAACTCAATGGTGCCAAAATAATTTCAAATTTTAGTGGTGCATTACCATTTAAGCTGCTTTATCCCAGCTGCTTTTCTTAAATAATTATATTCTGGAACACACATTACATACAAATTGCTAGAGATCTGTTGTGATGAGCAGTTAAGTTACTAATGCATTTCGGCAGACTTGATACAACCTGTTCTATGTCCTTTATATCAGTATGCCAAATCTTTTCTCCTACTGAGACATAAAAGATAGTGCTGTAATTGAAGATTTGTTTAAATTTGGGAATTATGCTCTGATTACAAAAATGGTTAATTGGATGAAGACCGAGACATCCGTTATTTTTACATCAAGACCATCAGTTACGCTTCAGGGGAGTCATCTTCCTAACCAGCTATGGTGGCAGACACGAGAGACCACGCAGACCTTGAGATGAACTTCCTCATGTTAGGCCTTCGGGAAGCCAGGTCTTCCTTCCTGTCTTGGGTGCTACCTGCCTGTATTCTTTCGATAAATTCCCCTTTAGCTTGAGTGACTTTCAGTGGATTTCTATTCCTTATAATCAGAATCCTCCTGAAGAAAAGTATCATATCCTTAGGTCACAAATTAATAGTCTCCTCTAAGTCGGGTAAGTCCCCAAACGAGTCTGGCTAATTGCCTCCACAACCCAGAGTCCAGAAAGGGTCCCAAACCTGGAGGTAAGATGACTGATGCTTATGTATTGTTTTGGGCCAAAGGCAATTGATCAAGTGATGGTATATACACCACCAACGACCTTCAGAGTCATGTGTTCTATTGTTCTACTTATAAAGTATTAGCAACCTTATCTTTCAAAGCAAGGAAACATGTACAGAACTGCTCCGCAAGCCCTACACCTTGCCTCTCATTTTCCAGCCTATATTACTAAATCTTTTGGTGAAAACTGGAGCTGGAAAGAATAAGGGAAGAGAGGGAAGAGGACAGGGAAAGGAAGCTTGAGGAGGCAAGAACAATGATGTTTAGACTTCTTTACAAATATATCTAAGTTTTCTTTTACACAATACACTTAAAAAATACATTTTTCAAACTGAATTGTGCTCGTAAATCAGACAGGGGCAGTTAATTTTAAATAGATTTCTTTTCACTTATAGTCTCTCATCTGCAAAAAATATTTAAAATTTTACACACACTTATCCACCATTAAAGTTATATACACGTGTGTATGCATAAATACATATAACACACACATATAATCTTTGGTGTTTGTGTGTAAAGAAATCTAGTATTCAGGGTATTTTTCATTATAAATGTTTAAATAAATATTTAAAACATGGAGTCTGATAGAACTGATAAAAATCCAAGGGGACTGGTGTTTTCTGGAATCTTGAGATATGCTACAAAGTTCTGGATTCAAGACATTCTGCCTAAGTGTTTACCAAGGGCCATGCCAGACAAGACTGCGCTTTTAACAACTGCCTACAAATGACTGAAATGTTGTTTAATAATGCTCAAGTCTATGATGATAATTGTCAAATTCCATTTTAAACTAATAGAATCACATTACTTAGAAGTAAAACTATGGAATTAAAAGTATTCACAAAGTACATACGTGTGGTTTTTAAATGCACAAGGAATTCGTCGGTTAAGTCAATCCACAATATCACCGCCCACCTTAAATCTCATTTCTGTGAAGCAGCTGAGCAGTAAATGCTCCATAAATACTAGCTAAATGGATAATTAGTCAGCACTAGTACAAGGTATAAATGAGTGCTTGTACAATAAAGGAAAAATGAGTCTTCAATTCCAAGGAACTTAGGCTATTAAGATTTTGTTAAGTGAGAAAAGTTCTCCTTTGCCCCATTTTTAATAATTGTTTCCAATTTTGAAAGGTACCATACTTCCCCATGTATAAGGCACACCCTTCTCTGAAAAGTTTGGGGTCTAAAAACTGGGTGCGTCTTATACAGTGGTTATATGAGTGCAAAAAAAAAAAAGCAGGAAATGCAAGTAAAAAAATCTACAACCACTGTATAAGACGCACCCAGTTTTTAGACCCCAAATTTTTCGAAAAATGGTGCGTCTTATACATGGGGAAATACGGTACTTCTTATTCTTCCACGACCCTTTCACAGGGGTCGCCTAAGACCATCGGAAAACAAAAAGATATTTACATTATGATTCATAACACTAGCAAAATTACAGTTATTGAGTAGCAACGAAAATAATTTTATGGCTGGGGGTCACCACAACATGAGGAACTGTATTAAGGGGTCGCGGCATTAGGAAGGTTAAGAACCGCTGTCCTAGACACTTTGAAAATGCATAACAGCATTTCTTTTTTTTTTAATTGTGAAACATACATCAAGTGCATCAAAATTTCTATAAAATGCAGTCATTAAAAAGCAAACACCTAATCAGTTCAAAAACCAGACCATAACCAAAACCC